CCTCACCTGGATGGGCCAGTGGGATATGCACTGGAATACCTTTATAGCATAAGTTCAGCGAGAGATGGAGAGAATGACTTGGTCAACAGAAAAAGCATTGACTTCATCCTGGCAGAAGCTTCCAACCTCAAGAAATGCGAGATGTACGCCAAGGCCAATCTACATCTGTAATAAATAAAGCTGAGACCAATTTTTAACCCCATAAAGTTGTTCTGTCACTTTGTTATCCTGTCAATACACTGATCTTCCATTCATAGGGTGCTAAAGGTATATCCCTTCATGGGGACACATCATCGGTGTGAAACATGTAAGTTCTGCTGAAGCTATGCTTTACATATTTGTGTGAGAATTATATTATAAATATATATCTATTAATATGTAATAAAGGAAGGCTGCTGATCACAGAATGTAGATGAAAAAGCCTGTATAACATGGTAGAATGTTATGAACATTTTAAAAAAATTTAAACATCATTCATGTGAAGATACACAGCCACATCCAGCTTTTTCCAGAAAATGAATTTCAAGCTGAGGCTTCAAATCAATTGAGCAACATTAATTTCCCACTGGCATTATTCACCTACAAATGCTACATAAAACCCAGCTTCTCTGAATTTATCTTCTCTGTGAAATGGTTTTCATCTCAGCCTATAGAACATGGGTCAACAGGAATCTTGTGTTCAGCTTGGGATAACAGCACTAATAAGAAGATCACAAATTCTCTCATCTTGCAGTGTTCATTTCAGATACCAGTTCATTTCTTTCCACTTTGTTATGCAAGTCCCCCGTCTTGAAACGAAAGGATGTTAGGCCTTAACCCAGCCTCTTCAGAGTAGGGTGCCTTGCAAAAATTCAGTCAGTTGCAGTCGGGGTTTTTTTTTGGAAATGGCATTTTGAGTTTAGGTATATTGAGTGGTTAAAAGAAAATTCACTTAATGTCTCTATCCCTGTATAACCTTTAGAAAATATCTGAAGGCAGCCCTGCATAGTGAAACTTCTTATGTTTTATGTTTTATTATGTTTTTATATATGTTGGTAGCAACCCAGAGTGGCTGGGTCAACCCAGTCAGATGTGTAGGGTGATGATGGTGGTGATGATGATGATGATGATGATGATGATAGGGAATTGGTCTGAAATATGGGGTGTTGGGGGAGGGGTAGTACCTCTGGCGGGGGGACATATCATGCTCCTTCGGGCATAGTTGTTCTACCATTGTTCCCCACCCTACACTCAGCTCTTGCCTGTGGCTCCTAGAAGCTGTGAGTATGTGACAGCAGCCACACCCTGGGAATGGTTTTGACTGGCCAGCTAAACCAGGTGAGGGTAGCTGATGGGTCTCAAACCACTGATGAGTTAGGGACTTACCCTGCAGGCAAAGACAGGCTCTGGTGGATTGAGCGGATGAGACAGTGACTCCAATGGTCAAAAAGGCTGTTTCTGCTCATGCTGTAGAGGGAGGTGAGCAGCAGATGTGGCTTGTTAAACTGGGAATGTCGCTCATCTAGGAGAAGGAAACCTCTGATCCTATGTCTGCACTGTCTTGTGGGAGATCTTTGAGAGAAGAAAAGACTAAGGAGTAAACCCTACACAAAGCTGGAGTGGAGTCCCTAAAATGGTTTTATGTCACCTTGCATGCCTCCTTCCTGCAACTCCTTCACCCAAGCTGGTGCCAAAAGTAATGCTCTGCTTTTCTTTGGACCACATCAGTGATGCTAAAGTGTGTGGGAGGGGGCCTTGTCATCTGGGTAATCCAGGATGCCAGGGAGGTCTTTTAACTTCAACCCCAGTGGAAAACTTCATTGTCTCTGAGACAGATAGTTGTGGTCCAGTTACAGCTCCACCCTCCCTAGGCAGTGACTAAAGTAAGATGTGATAAACTAAACAATCCAGCAAACAATTATCTGGATTAAAAATGGCTACAAATTCTTTGATTACAAGAGTAGGTGGAATTTTGGCTCAGGTGTTGTGTGTGTATCTATTCTAGCCTTCTTCAGGAAGGCTGACACATTTCCAGGCTTTTGCCAAGGATTCTGACCTCAATGTTTTTCAGCTCCCTCCATGTGCTCTGATTGGAGGAGAGTCCGGCTTCTCCCAGCAGCCACCACAACTGCCTTCTTTCATTGGTAACCTTATTTAGACACTGAGAAGAGCAGAAAGTTGTGCTCCTCAACAGTGGATCCCAGGACATGGTGCAGGTGTGTTTGAGGAAGAGTGTTGGGAAAACTAGGAAGCTCCCTTCAGGGCACCAGTTTGCAGCTGGACTGCTTGCTTGCCTGGGGCACTCGCACTTGCAAGAGAACTACTCAATAACAAGTATGCATTATTATTTTGAACTTACTGTAAGTCACAGAGCTCAATGCTCTAAGGAGATACCTTAGTAATTATCTCAAATTGCTGGGTTTCATCATCCATCTTGCCAAACCCCATGTACATTATATCAAGCCATGAACACAATCAATATCAGAGTGTGAAAGCGCATATAAAATAAATCCTGTGTCATTTAGAGCCCAGATGAGAAATTCTGAACGTGCAAGTTTTCATGGACCAAATCTTTGGCATTTTCTCCTTATCAAAAGAATCCAGAGTCATTCAATAAAAGTTCCTGCGATGCAGTTTATGGTAGATGAGATAGAAATCTGACTTTCAACATCCCTGTTGGCCCCAAGATGGTAGGAACCTTTCTGCTGCTGATCCTTCTCTTCCTGTGGCTGCAGTTGCCTCCAACTGAGAGCAAGGAACACTCTGCTGGATGCACCATGATGGAGCCGTTCCAGCTTCCATACCAGAATTATCAGAGAGGGGACCTAGTCATTGGAGGAATCGTTACCTATTTCGGGTTTTTATTTGAAGAAAAGGATTTCCATGAACACCCAAACACAAAGCTTATAGATGAACTTTTGTAAGTAAAATCCTATCCTTCATAGTGTACCCTTGGTGAGCTCAAGTATGCTACAATTACACCAAACATACAATGGCGTCCTCAGAACACGTTTCCACATGATTTTTTCCCCAGTAGGAGTGTTAAATATCTATTTTCTTCTCTTTACATTGTGATCTGGTCACCTTCTTTGTTGCTTTATTCTGCTTCATGAGGTTTCTGTTTTCTGCCTGTTCTGCTTTCTCATCACCTGATCCCATGGCTCTCACCGCTTTCTCCCAACTTCATCCTCAACCTCCCTCTGTGTTTCCTTTCACACCATTAACGCCTGGTTTTCCTTTGCAGCAAAGCTTGTTCCTCACTTTCACAATCACTATCCCTTAATCTGGCAGTCACAGTTGAATGTGGCATATGAATATCATAGATTTTGGGTTATACCTGCTGTTATGCAATGTAAATCATATTGGGTAATAATACCAAGTATCGCAACTGAGTTTTACGCAGAGTAGACTCATTGCAATTAAAACACCTAAGTTTGTCTGATCTATTAATCCTAATGGGCCTTCTCTGAGTATAACTAACATTGGCTACAGCATTTTTGGTACAGCCATAATTTTATTAGAAGGAGGGAAGGATGGAGACTCAGTTACCGTGAAAGAATAGATCCTATTCCATCTGATGTGCTCTGGCCTCTACTCCCCACCTACACCAAACCCTTACTATCTGAGAGGCACCATTCTCATCCAATGAGTGTTCGTTGGTTGCTGAAAGGAAATAAGGCGTTAAGGGAAGGATGTGGCAAATTATATACATGCATGTGAGCTAGGAAGTTACCTATGTGCTTAAGAGGGCGAGGAAGGGAATACCTCTGACACATAGTATAACTCTTTTATTAGTGACACACTGAAGTACTACCAGAATACTCTCTCTCTGGTGTTTGCTGTCAAAAAAATAAATGAGAGCCCTAATATCTTACCAAATATGACATTTGAGTTCCACGTCACTGACTGCTACTTAAACGCAAGGATGACTTATCAGAACACCCTGAAACTTCTGTCCATCACAGAAAGGATTGTCCCCAACTTCAAATGTGAGAAGAAGAAAAGTAAGGTAGCTTTTATTGGGGGACTTGACTCTGACATCTCCCTCCACATAGCTACTGTCTTAGGCATCTAGAAGATTCCACAGGTATGGTAAGTGTGGGGGCTGTGAATCTCTTCTGCCTCGGGTACAATAATTATCTTCTGGATTTGCAAAGCTTTCTTTTACTTTGGTTCATTTTTCTGAAAAAGGAAGTGTGAGAGGAAAATATATACCTGATACAAAAGCATCTGGGGGAGTTTTGCAGTAGTGGTTGGAGCGGAGGGGCTTTGGTACTCGCCTGACTTTGTTTCCCATGTGTCACTGGGAAGCAGCAGAGAGGTTGGAACTGGGCAAATGCAGCAGCAGGATTCTTCCTCCTGCTCCCAGGAAGCTGCGCAACACCAGTTGCAAGAGATCAGAGAAACCCTGCTCCTCCTCCTCCCCACCAACAACTGCTAGAGATGCACATTTTGCTACCGTGAGACCAAGATTAATAATAATAATAATAATAATAATAATATATTTCTACCATGCCCATCTGGCTGGGTTTCCCAAGCCACTCTGAGCGGCTTCCAACAAAAAATAAAAAATACATTAAAACATCAGTCATTAAAAACTTCACTAAATATAAGGAAGTTGTCTTATATAGAGTCAGAACGTTGATTTTTCTATCTCAGTGCTATCTACGAAGCTTCTATGGATCTATTGATGGTTACTAGACATAAACACAAGTTCAGTGTCAAGAGGCTTGTGACTACTAAATGTCAGGAACACAGAAAGCTGCCTGGTTCTGGGGTCAGATTATTGGTCCGTCCAGCTCAGTATTATCTATACTGACAAGCAGTAGCTCTGCAGGACTTCAGATGAAGTTCTCTCAAAACTTTTGGCATGAAAAGTAGATCCTCTTTCTGCTGTCTGCTCAACTGCATTTTTACTATTATATTGGTTTTAATAACTGTCTTATGTAGATTTTATACTTGGCTATTGTTAGATGCCCTAGGCTCTTATGGAAAGAAGAGCAGGAGATACTGCTAATACTTTATGTAAAGTAGACCTGAGAGCACTCAGTGAAGGTAATAAAACACATTTCTTTACTGCCACCATCTTCAGTATCATCCAGAATACCTGCAGTGCTTGAGCTCATGTGTTCAGCTGGCACTGTGGTGCTCACTTGCCACATTGTTTTCACCTTTTTCTCTCCTTGCCCACTACTGATTTCCTCTCTCCATACTTGAGGATTTGCATTTGGGTAGAATTCCTTCACAAAAGTTGTCCTGATTGGTAGCTGAAATACATTATTTTCCTTCAGGGGGTTATGCATCCATAAATGGATTTCTTTCCTTTTCACCCTTTTCAGTTCCACAAACATGTGTCCTTTTTTCTCAGCAGTGGCTGCCCAAAGGAGGACACACGGATCCCAGGACATTCCTGGATCCAATCAGAGACCAGGCTGACTTCTTTAAATCTGGGATGCCCTGCTCACAAGAGAACAGTTGAGTGCTATGTTCTATGTATTCTGAGTTCTCCCTATGGCCTTCCTCCAGCTTATTCACTTCTATGTCTTCTTTAAAGGAAGTGGAATTAAGTGGAGGGATATTAGGTGGACCTAGGAGATCAGGGTTAAAATCACCAATCACAGTGTGATCTTGAGCCAGCTGGCTGCCTTCTCCTTACGAGTTTTTATAAGCCAGTAGTGGGAAGGGTCGAATACCACTGGAACACATAACCCACAATTCCTCTTTGAGCCAGCTTTCCATTTTTCATTGAACTGGGAAGGTTAATTGGAACCCAGGTCGCTTGCTTAGGAACAACACCGTGAAGACCTCAGGAGAACTTATAACACCCTGCCAAGCTTTAGTCTCCAAGTATAGCCTTTCCCTTAGGTGCTTTCATCAACAGGGGCACTTTATTGTCTGCAAATCCAAGAGTGTTTGACCATGCAACAATTGTGCTGCTCCAAGAACGCTCGTACCTAACCTCACGCTGTGGGGTAACAGTGAAAACTCAAGAAGGATCTTATATATTACCTACCCCCCCCCAATAAATAGGAAATATTGGAACTTCAGTTTGTCTCTGTCAGTCACTCTGTCAGTTTCATGACCTTACTGCCCTTTCCCTTCCCACATGCCACAACCACATGTATTGTATGTTTCAAGTTGTACCACTGCATTTAAGCCTCCATTGTCACCTTCATGAGTCCCTCACATTGCTTTCCAACTCTAAGATGACAAAAGGAAATTCCCCACTTCCATAGGCATTGATCTATATTTGTTAATATGCAGTAACTAGTCAGTTTCAGCTGTTCGTCCATGCAATGTGGGATTTCTGAAGTGTATAGAAAACAGATGTCTGCATACACTAACCATTTCTGTAAGGAAATGTAACATTCTGTATTGCACCTGCAACTGGAGCCGGTGTTATTTTAACTATTTTCTCCCTTCCCTTAACTCTTGTACAAGGAAAGATCCCTGAAAATCATGTCTCCATTGGTAACACATCTACAGTTGGGGGAAATGGTGCAGGTGTGATTGAGGAAGAGCGTTGGGAAAACTAGGAAGCTCCCTTCAGGGCACCAGTTTGTAGCTGGACTGCTTGCTTGCCTGGGGCACTCACAATTGCAAGAGAACTACTCAATAACAAATATGCATTATTATTTTGATCTTACTGTAAGTCACAGAGCTCAATGCTCTAAGGAGATACCTTAGTAATTATCTCAAATTGCTGGGTTTCACCGTCCATCTTGCAAAATCCCATGTACATTTTATCAAGCCATGAACACAATCAATGTTAGAGTGTGAAAGTATATATAAAATAAATCCTGAGTCATTTAGAACCCAAATGAGAAATTCTAAAAGTGAAGGTTTTCATGGACCAGATCATTGGCATTTATCCTTTATCAGAATTATCCAGAGTCATTCAATGAAAGTTCCTGTAATGCAGTTTATGGAGGATGAGATAGAAATCTGACTTTCGGCATCCCTGTTGGCCCCAAGATGGTAGGAACATTCCTGCTGCAGATTCTTCTCTTCCTGTGGCTACAGTTGCCTCCAACTGAGAGCAAGGAACACTCTGCTAGATGCACCATGATGGAGCCTTTCCAGCTTCCATACCAGAATTATCAGAAAGGGGACCTAATCATTGGAGGGATTGTTAATTATTTTGGCTTTGTATTTGAAGAAAAAGATTTCCATGAGCACCCGAACACAAAGCTTATAGATGAACTTTTGTAAGTAAAAATCTCTATCCATCATAGTGTACCCTTGGTGAGCTCTTGTATGCTACAATTACACCAATCATACGATTGTACCCTCAGAACACGTTTCCCTGTGACTTTTATCAAGGAGGGATGTTAAACATATATTTTCTTCTTTTTACCTTGTGATCTGGTCATCTTCTTGTTTGTTGCTTTATTCTGCTTCTTGGGGTTTCTATCTTGTGCCTGTTCTTCTTTCTCATCATCTGATCCCATGGCTCTCACCGCTTTCTCCCAACTTCATCTTCAACCTCCCTCTATGTTTCCTTTCACACCATTAACGTCCGGTTTTCCTTTGCAGCAAAGCTGGATCCTGATATTCACAATCACTATCATTCTGACAGTCACAGATAAATGTGACATATGAATATCATAGATTTTGGGTTATACCTGCTGCTATGCAATGTAAACCATATTGGGTAATAATACCAAGTATCGCAACTGAGTTTTATGCAGATTAGACCCATTGAAATTAATACACCTAAGTTTGTCTGATCTATTAATCCTAATGGGCCTTCTCAGAGTATGACTAACATTGGCTACAGTATTTTTTGTACAGCCTCAATTTTATTTGAATGAGGGAAAGATGGAAATTCTGTTACTGTGAAAGAATAGATCCCATTCCATCTGATGTGCTCTGGTTTCTACTCCACACCTACACCAAACACTTACTATCTGAGAGGCACCAGTCAGAATTTCTGCACTGGGAACTTCTCAACCAGTGAGTGTCCATTGGTTGCTGAAAGGAAAAAGGAGTTAAGGGAAGGATGTGGCAACTTATATAGGTGCATGTGAGCCAGGAAGTTACCTATGTGCTTAAGAGGGAGAAAATACCTCTGACACACAGTATAATTCTTTTATTAGTGGAGCACCAAAGTACTACCAGAATACTCTTTCCCTGGTGTTTGCTGTGAAAGAAATAAACGAGAACCCTAATATCGTACCGAATATGACCTTTGGGGTCCACGTCACTGATAGCTACTTAAATGCAAGGATGACTTATCAGAACACCCTGAAACATCTGTCCATCACAGAAAGGATTGTCCCCAACTTCAAATGTGACAAGAAAGGACAAAAGATAGCTTTTATTGGGGGACTTGACTCTGACATCTCTCTCCACATGGCTACTGTCTTAGGCATCTACAAGATTCCACAGGTATAGTAAGACTGGGGGCTGTCAAGCTCTTCTGCCTCAGGTACAATAATTATCTTCTGGATTCTCAAAGCTTTCTTTTATTTTGGGTCATTTTTCTGAAAAAGGAAATGTGAGAGGAAAATATATACCGTAACTGATACAAAAGCATCTGGGGGAGTTTTGCACTAGTGGTTGGAGGAGAGGGCCTTTGGTGCTTGCCTGACTTCATCTCCCTTGTGTCACTGGAAGCAGCAGGGAGGTTGGAACTGGGCAAATGAAGCAGCAAGAGTCTTCCTCCTGCTCCCAGGAAGCTGCCCAAGGCCAGCTGCAAGAGATCAGAGAAACTCTGGTACTCCTCTGCACCAACAACTGCTAGAGATATGCATAATGTTCTTGTCAAATCAACATACATCCATAAATGGAGTCGAGAAATTCTCATGAGTTTTTCTCTTCAAGCAGATACTTGGGATGAACCACAGCTGTTTGCTCTAACTCTCCAATTCTTGTGGGTTTGATTTCTTCCTCCAGATTGCTTACTGTGTATTAGCTCCAGTGAGAAGCCCAGAGTTGCAGCCCCAGACATTCTACCGAACGGTGCCCAATGAGAAATATCAATATGAAGGGATTGTCAGGCTACTTCTACATTTCCAGTGGACATGGGTAGGAATTGTGGCATCCGATGATGAAAATGGAGAGACCTTTATGCAAAGCTTAGTGCCAGTGCTTTCCCAGCATGGAGTCTGCACAGCTTTCAATGAAAAACTACCAGCCATATCTCAGGGTCTAGATAATTTCGGTTCCCTGGAACTCCTTCGGGCCAAGTCCTCTTTCCTGGTGGCCTCAGAAGTCAACATTTTGGTTCTGTGTGCAGAACCTCAGACCATTACAGTTGTGAAATGGATGCAATATTTCTTTTCATTAGCTGAAGATATTGCAGAGACGTCTACAGGCACCGTGTGGATTTTAACAGCCCAGTGGGCTTTCACTTCAGAAACAATGCAAAGGTATTACGATATACAAGTCTTTGATGGTGCCTTGTCTTTTGCAATTCACACAGAGAAAGTCCAGGGATTTAAAGACTTCCTTCAGACCCTGAACCCCAACTCTCCAAAGGGAGATGGGTTCCTCCAGGCTTTTTGGCAACAGGCATTCAACTGTTTATTTTCTGCTTCTAATGGGCACAAGGAAAACACAAAGACCTGCACTGGCCATGAGAGACTGGAGAGCCTTCCTGGGCATATTTTTGAAATGACCATGACTGGCCAAAGTTACAGTATCTATAATGCAGTTTATGCCATTGCACATTCTTTACATCAGATGCACTCATCCAGGTCAAAATGCAGAATGATGGCAGGCAGAGGTGGGCTCGATCCTCCAAAACTGCAACCTTGGCAGGTGAGATTTCCTATTCAGAATAAACCTTTGCAAAGTTGAGCAAGAGAAATGAGAATTAAGAAAAATTAAGAATTTGTTTGAAAATACTAAGGTTTGTTTCTACCCATGACTGTCCACCAACTATTTTCTAGAAGCTGCATTTGTTTCTGCACTAAAGAGGAACATATAGGGCTATTTTCAAATGTGGTTGCCTGGTCTGTTTTTTAACTTGCTTCCAGTCATGTTCATTGAAGTGGACCCGAAAGTACAGGTCACTTTACGTTGGTGTGGAAAAGTGAACAAATAAAGGAGAGCAGGGAAAACCCACCATGAGCTGCTCTTCATTTCTTTGCCCCCTTCTCCCTGCACTCCCAGCTTGCAGGAGGGGCAGTTCCAGGGCTTCCTGACCTGGCACCATTTTGCCTTTGCACACGGACCCCAGAGCTGAACCCTCACGCAAGTGGCAGGCCAGCTGTACTTGCTAGAAATACTTATGTGTTTCAAATGTTGTAGACTGCACAATTTTTAACTACTTTCCATTGTGTGAAATATATTGATAGATATTTCTCTTTGTAAAATCAATAAAACTCTCCTTTTTAAAACTTTGCCTTTGTTTTCTTCTGCCTAGCT